GATTCCATGTGTTGTGAGCTCTTATGTCTTGTCTGTATCTGTGCATATGCTCCGGGGTCATGATAGTGGGGGGTGAGGAAGCCTCAAGGAGCCAGAGGAGTATTGTGTGTTTCATCGGTGCTTTACTGCACCCTGGTGGACTCATCCCTTCCCTGTGACCCCTCTGTGAGGGGATGTCCCATTGTTTACAGGTGGGCTTTGGGTCTCTACTCCGACCTCCCTTGTTCTCAACAATATGGTTTTATGTTGTTTGTCTGTTTTGGGTCTTTTGATGCCTGTTACCCGATCCCAGCAGCACTCATGGTGGCACAGGCTGGTGTCCTTCTTCCATGTGGGCTTGTTGCTTCTCAGCTAGATGGCCGCTTGTTTAACCTCAAGCCTTTAAGACCCCAGACGCTGTGTCTTTTGATAGCCGGGCACCATCAGCGTTCTTCACCACATTTGCTTATGCACCCATTTGTCTTCAGCGATTGTGCCGGGAGGGTGAGCATCACAGAATACCAAGTTGTTAAAACAAGATGATCTTGTGTTGATGGAGGGCATGAGCAGAGGCCCAAAGTCCATCCACAACCTCAATGTATTGGCACATAAATATATGTGCATGGACCAATACCTCTATTGTTATGAATTAATGTATTAACATGTGTACACACCTATTTCTATGCCTCTATCCATAACTTTGCTTCTTAGATCGTTCCTCTGTTTCCTTTCTTGGAAGGATAGTCTTGATTATACAAGTCACTTAAGAAGCAGTCAAAAGGCTGTACTGACTTAAAGGATTTGTCATGTTTTTTGTTTTTTTTATCAGATACTTATTAAATACCTACTGTGTTCCAGTCGTGGTGCCTAGGAAACAAATAAGATATGATGTTAAAAAAAAGAAGAAAGTAATTGTCTAGAAAAGAATGATGGCAACGTATGTACAAATATGCCTGATACAATTGATGTATGGATTGTAATGAGTTGTAAAAGTCCCCGATAAAATAGTCTCTTAATTTAAAAAGGAAATAATAAGAATCATCACAGAAATTTAGGAAAGACTAACAAAATAGAAATTAATGCCTCCCCAAAGGGGGGGGGTATCAGATGCTGGCCCCAAAGTCAAAACATCAGAAGATAATCATCACCCCCATTGTTGTTTCTGGAAGCCCAGCACTGTTCAAGACGATTGCACTGAGCTGAGGAAAGGGGCGGGGTTGGGGTGGCAGAGTGTCACGGGAAGAGTGAGAGCGGGGCGCCGTGGAGATTTTCCTAGAACAGCGCTGGTGGTGCCTTGAGGATTTCTGCCATCGGCAGGTAGGCTGGGGGCGGCAGCATGGGAGGTTAGAGCGGCTGGGATGAGGTGCACTGGAATGGGAAGACGGGACGCACCCGGCGGCAGAGAGAGCAGCAATCAGGGCCCCTGCGGACAACTCGATGGATGACGGCATGGGTGTCATAAGGCAAGCACACCCACGACCATCTAGTCCATTCTGACTCGTGGGACCTCAAAGGACAAGGCAGAACTGCGACTCCGGTTTGTTTGTTTTCTGTAATGGATTTTGTATGCACTGGTGAAGTGAACTTGCTTGATGTGGTTCTCTTTTTTAAATTTAAATCATTTTATTGGGGGCTCGTACAATTATCACAATCCATACATCCATCCATTGTGTCAAGCACATTTGTACACTTGTTGCCATCATCGTTCTCAAAACATTTTCTTTCTACTTGAGCCCTTGGTATCAGCTCCTCATTTTTTCCCCTCCCTCCACCACCTTCCCTCCCTCATGAAACTTTGATAATTTATAAATTATTATTATTTTGTCATGTCTCACACTGTCCGGCATCTTCCTTCACCCACTTTTCTGTTGTCTGTCCCCCAGGGAGGGGGTTATATGTAGATTTTTGTGACCATTTCCCCCTTTCTACCCAACCTTCCTCCACCCTCCCTGTATCACCACTCTCACCACTGGTCCTGAAGGGATCGGCTGTCCTGGATTCTCTGTGTTTCCAGTTCCTATCTGTACCAGTGTACATCCTCTGGTCTAGCCGGATTTGTAAGGAAGAATTGGGATCATGACAGTGGGGGAGTGGGGAGGAAGCATTTAAGAACTAGAGGAAAGTTGTACATGTGGTTCTTCTATATGTAGTCTTTGCAACTTTTTTGCCCCCAGCAGTTCTACTGCACATAATTTACCTATCATACAATTCAATAGTTCAATCATTCAATCAATCGAGCAGAATTGTACACTCATCACCACATCAATTTTAGATGACCCCCCCCCCATTGGTTAAATTGTCTTTAAAATAAGTTGTGCGATCACAATCCGTTCTAGTGCTCCTTGCCCCCTCCCGCCTTTCCCAGCCTATCTCCCCCACCCCCACCCCTGTTTTCCCGGTATCCCCTTGTATCAGTTATTATCATTATGCATCCTCAGTCTTTCCTCCCCCAGCCTGGTG